AGCAAAGACTTGTGCGCTCTAGCTCACTCTGGATCCTGCAGCTGGCTCTTGTTCATCTGACCTACAGTTCTTGGGACTTAAGCTAGCAGCTTACCTGCAGTCTTGTCTGCTGATCTTCGAATTTGTTGATCTTTGCAGCCTGTGAGCAAAAGCCCTGCTCTCTAACCTGCCAATTTGGGTTCACCAGCCCCTGCAGCTATGTGAATCAGGAGAAGCCTCTATCCTGACCCACAGACTTGGGACACTCCAACTTCTACAACCACGTTGAGCCATTTCCTTGATATAAATCTTTCTCTCTATATATAAATCTTTCTCTCTATATATATTTATATACTTTACTGGTTTTGCTTCCCTAGAGAACCCAGGCTAAGATAGATGGCTATCCTGAGGTGGACAGCACATCATTCCCTTCTTCAGTAAAGCTTCCAACCAGGGCAGCTCTTTCAGCCTCTAGCAGGCCTCTCTGCCATGCTAGCAGGTCCCCTCTCAGCCATGCAAGCAGGCACCCTCTTGGCTATGCATGCCCCATCTTAGCTCTATAGACCTCTCTGCCTTTGGCCTGCAGTCAGCTGTCTGCCTCTTCGCTGGTAGCTGACTCAGTTCGTAGCCAGTGTAGCAGCTTGCTCAGCTGCTGTTCTCCTCTGCCACTGGGCCCTTTCTAGGTCTCTCACCCTCTTCAATGTTACAGCCCTTGGCTCGTATTACAACTCTTTTGGGAGGTTCCCTCCTCCCCTCTTTCTCTAAAGAAACTCTGTGGAGTTGGCCGCTTATATAAGCAAACTCCTTGTCAATTTCAAGGCATGGACCTTACAGCAGAACCAAGAACCGATCAATCCCCTTGGTGGACCACAAGTCACTCAGTCCTATTGGGTGGTTTTACAAACTAACTTTCTGGCTAGTAAACCAACCAATCCCTGCAAAGTGAATAAAATAAACAAATCACAGGGCAGACGGTAGCTCAACCAATCATTTTTTGGCAGAGTTACAAATCCAGGGCCAGAAAGGCCATATATAAGAGAAACCCATTGCACTGTGGATGTCACCTCAGTTTCATGCCTGTTGAATTAGAGGCAGACTATTGGGCTAGAAGGAATTTCTGGAGCCATGAAAAACTCACTTTTATTGATAAAGAATAAAGGAACTGAGGTCCAGAGAGTGTACTGATGTTTGCACTGTGGTCAGCTGGCTACAGGCAGACCTGGTATCTAGGATTCTCGATTCCTGACTTAGTGCTCTTTCCAAAATACTGTGGTTATTGAATAATATTGTGGCTGGCTTAAAAGAACATGGAGAGCTTCTATTGTTTTGAAATAAAGTAATGACATACATAGTATGACAAACTATTTCATAGAGTGAAATTAAATTGTATAAATTTTAAGCTACATTATTGGTTAAAATATAGGGAAATGATAAATTTTATAATAATATGAAATCTTGAAGACCAGATGCTGTGAGCCTGAATACAAGGCTTTAGCCCAACTTACGTCAGGCATTCTAATTAAAAATGTGTTGCCTTTATTTTACAGATGATGAAATGAAAAATAGAGAACTTAAGTGACTTGTTCAAGTTCATTCAGCCATTTAGTGGTAGAATGTGGATCACAACTCAGGTGTCTTGACTCCCAGTTGAGTGCTTACCCACTATAGTGCCTGCATCAAGCAAGGGAGTTTCCTTTGGTCTATACTGATTTTACAGCTCAGGACTGAACTTTACTGTATAAATTGAGGAATAACTAACTGTATTTAGATAGGTAGTTTTCTCTTACAGATATTACATTAATATGTTTTCTTTTGGAAGGGATGAGAGGGACAATGCAATGAGGGAATTTACTGGGCTTTTTCTGATCAGTCTGCTCAAGACACTTTCAGTGTAATGAATTACTTAATATGGCCTTTCTAGCCATGGTCTTTGTGACTCACACACAGTGATTGAGTGGGACTATGCAAACAAGGTATTTAGAACCTGTGATGGTTGGGGTCATGTGTCAACTTGGTTAGGCCATGATTCCCAATATTGTACGGTTGTCCTTCATTTTATGTGTTGTGGATCCTGACCGCTACATGTTGATGAAGCAGGACTGGTGTAGGGTATGTCTTGTGTCGCAGCCTTGCAGGAAGGCGTGACTCAAGTCCCACCCTTATTCAAGTTAAACCCTTCCTTGGGGTGTGGCATGCATCTAAGGTATATGTGTGTATGACCTGGTGGGACTCTATCTCTCTGCATTTAGATCCATGTCCAGTTCATGACCAATTGACCTCTAGTTCATGGGACTTGAGCCTGAGGCTTGCTGTCTGACCTGCCAGTTCTGAGATTTGCTGGCCTATCGTCTGACCTGATTCACCAGCTTCTGCAGCCTTGTGAGCCAGCAGTCTGTGGTCTGAACTGCCGGTTGGGGTTCGTCAGCTCCTGCAGCCATGTGGGTCAGGGGAAGCCTCTGCCTGACCCATGGGTTTGGGACTTGCCAGCCTCCACAACTGCGTAAGCAATTTCCTTTATACGGCTTGTGAGTTCTGTGAGACATTGCAGCGAATTACGGAACCCAAAGATGGGAGGGACAGTACTGAGGGGAGATGGAGTAATTGATGTTAGAGATGATGGAGTGGTAGAGAAGTTTTGAAAAATTGTCCATTTAGGACATCTTTAACTGCTGCCTAATAGGAACCAGCTTTGTGCTGATCCTTATAAAAGAAATTATTCATTTAACACTGCTAGAAAAACTTAACAGTTTGAGGCATTTGTCCATTGCTTCCCTACACAGCATGTATTGCTATGGCTGGTTCCTCACAAGGGTTTCCTAGAATGGGCTCTCTAAATGGGAGGAAAAGCGGTGGAAGAGACAGAACATTTTTTCCTCTGCTGTTGTAAATCAGAATTAACAAATTGGAGGAGAGAGTATGTGTGATTTTTTGTTGTTGTAGATTTTGGGTATGCTTTTATAGGTCACCAGCATGCTGTTTGTTTGCATGATGCATGTGCTGTATCTTTGTTTTCTATTATTCTAAACATCTTGAATACTATTACTTGGGATTCAGGTCTGTCAAGATGTTTAGATTACAAAAGCATGATGAGTTCCTTAAAAAACAAAACAAGACAAATAAACCAGCAACTGGTTGCTTCTTCTAAAAATCTGCATTTTTATCATTATTTAAGCTATTAATTTGACAAAAATTACCTAATATGTAAAAATTCCTATAGTCAATAAAGATCAGATTACTTTTCTTTTTGGCAGAAATTTCTATCATCTAAAATAATCAGAGCATAACACTTTGACTCTCATTAGTTGTATGATCACAGTTAGATCTAAGAGCTAATAAAATTAACACTGTCTTATAATGTTAAAGGAGCCCTGGCGGCACAGTGGTTAAGAGCTACGGCTGCTAACCAAAAGGCTGGCAGCTTGAACCCACCAGCTGCTCCTTGGAAACCCTATGCAGCAGTTCTACTCTGTCCTACAGGGTCGCTATGAGTTGGAATCAACTTGACAGCAATGGGTTTGGTTTGATAAGGTTAAAAATTAGGACAGTATTTTGGAATCTCTCACATCTTTCTGTTCACTGGGTAAGACTGTTTTGTGTAACTAGTAAACTGATCTCTAAATTATACAAACTAATGTTCTAGCTCAGTCTTTTAACTTTACTGATATTCTCAGAGACTCATCAGTGCCGAAGTAATAATTATTCACTTTGGCTAGGATATTGATGTGAGAGCATATGTAAGTCTTGAATTTAGAAGTAGCAACATTTCATTTTCAGTTAAAATTAGCTGTGCTATATCAGATTTTAATAGAAAAGTCTTATACTCATCTGTTTTCTTGAATCACATTAGGCCATACACTTTTAACAAATGCTAGAAAGTATTCTGAAACAACTTTTTTTTTTTTGCTCTATACATCTTAACATAATTTGTCTAAATTCATATGTGTGAAGCTCATTTGGAAAAAAATTTTTTTTTCTTCTTCTATGTTTAACTTCGTGCTGTGCCACAATCAGACGTGATACTGGATCCATTCCCAGTGGGCATGTGCTTGTTGATTTTTAAACTACTAGTTGTATTGGATTTGAAATGGCTCTTCCATTTCACTCATTAACCACATCTCCTGGTTATCAAAAAATATTTTTTTTCTTAAAAAGATTACAGGTTACATTCCTCAAAAGTCAAAATAGATTTTCTCATGTCAATAACATATTTCTTATGAATTGAAAATTTTGTTTCTTCTCCGTATTGATTTTGAAGTCAAGAAATGAGAAGTAAAATATTTTGCCAGTTATACAATTTTTGAGAAATGCTGATTGTTAATGTAGGAATTCTAAAGGTATGATTATCCACCATCTCAGTTGTTATAAAGTTCTCTCAAAAATATCAAGCCATACACTCAGGAAGAGGAGGAGGATATAAAATGTGTAGCTAACAGCCTCCATTAACAACTGCCTTTTTTTGCCATGAGACCAGAAGAACTGGCAGTCGTTCAGGGTGCCTGGCTACCATTACTGAATATTTTGATCAAAGATTTCATAGAAGAATCCCAGTAAAAAGGGGAAAAATGTAGAACAAAATTTCAAATTATCCTGGACTCCGGACTTCCTGGAGCCATGGAGGATGAATGAACCCCTAAAATTATTGCCCTGAGATAATGTTTAAACCAAATATATTCACTGAAGTCGTCTTAAAACCAAACAATAGTATAGCTTAACTAGTAAAAAAGGTCTGCTTTGAATATTGTGCTCTTTTAAGAACTACCTATATGGGATCAAACTGACAACGGCAACTCAAAAGATTAGCTAGGAACATTTAGGTGGCAGTGAGTTTATGTTAATGAGGGAACAACTCAGAAGAGGAAGATGAGAATAGTTACACAACTTGAAGAATGTAATCAATGTCACCAAATTTTACATGTAGAAACTGTTAAAAAAAAAAAAGAATATTGACAGATCATGATAAATTTATAATGCCACTGAAAAATTTGTATGGAAATTGTCAAATGGGAACCTAACTCGCTGTGTAAACTTTCGCCAAAAACTCAATAAAATATTATTAAAAAAAAAAATCAAGCCATAAATATGCTTTGGGATTAAAAATGGCGTGATTATTTTTCACTTAAGTGTCACAAATCCTCAACTCAGTGGTAGCTTGGAATTCATGAAAACAAAGTTACCTATTCAGTATTTTCATGTTTTACTTTTCCATTGTGTACTGCAGAGCTTTCAAATTTTAATACTGATCATGTATACAGGTAGATTCTGGACCAATATTCTGGGGTAGGTCCTGATATTCTGCTTTTCTGAAGAGCTCACAGGTGATGCCCTTCCTGCTGTTTTGAACAACACTTGAAATAGCAAGAATGTGGGGAACTCTTTTCTCCCTTCATCTGGAAATAGAACAACTCTTTTTATTGGGAAACTCATTCTGTGTGGTATGATATGTGACTCAGGCAACCAGAATCTTCCCTAAGAAGTGATCTGGGGACTCCAGATATTTCTTCTATGAGCTATAATAACTGGGGTCATATTTCCTGGTCCATCTAATGTGAAAGAGTAAGGTCAATATGAAAACAGGATAAGTGAACAAAGATGAAAGACAAAACAGTGTATCCCCAGGACATTGTTTGGATTCCTGGATCCAGATGTGCTTAAAATTAGTTTATCCATGGATTAGCAAATACATTGTTTTTTTTTACTTTGCTAGTTCAAGTTTCTCTCTCTTAAAATTAAAAGTCCTGATAAACATGTTGAGCTTAGCCACTCAATAAATTATAATTAATGACAAGGGTAATTTTGAGTAGCTGAATTAATGCAAAAGCAGAGCAAGGGAACACCAGAAACCAAACCCGTTGCTGTTGAATAGATTCCAACTCATAGCAACCCTTTAGGACAGAATAGAAATGCCCCATAGGGTTTCTGAGGCTGTAGTCCTTATGGAAGCAGACTCCCACATCTTTCTCCTGCAGAGCTGCTGATGGGTTCAAACCACTGACCTTTCAGTTAGCAGCTGAGTACTTTAACCACTGCACCACCAGGGCTCTTTTCCAAGATAACACATTGTAGCCCTTATGTAACCCAAGAGATAATGTACTCTAGGTCTAAAATTCAATGTCAACTTAGAAGCAGCGTGTTCTGTTTCCACTTTGTTCTAACAGTTGATTTGAAGCATTTCCTTACCTAAAAGCTGCATTATAACCTCGTACCTTCAGTGGTGAAAACGGTCTTGTATAAACTATTCACTTTATAGATGAAGAAAGCAAAACTCACGTATCTTCAAGGCCACATACGAAGTTGTAGAACCCAGAACCTAGGTTTCCTCTTCTAGTCATTTAATTCCTCTTCCTCCACACTTTTATTCCTTATTGTATTAAGACGTTGTGTATATTGCTGGCTCTTAGTTGAGAATAACAATATACTGTAAAATCAAGTCATTATGTGAACAAAATGTATCGTCTAGATGCCTTTGTAACTGTATACGTTTGGGGAGAAATACGCGAGAATCATATAAGGCACATATACAACTTGATAGCTCATACATGAATGTGAATGTATGGAACACTGAAAGATTAATTCTAAATGTGATTCCAAAAGTACTCCTAACTTTACCAACTACTCTAAGACTTATACATTCTTTTAACAATATACTGGTAAGTTGGACATATCACAGGAAGTAAACTGGTACCTTAAAGTGAAATACTTTACTTGGTTAAGTTTGGTTCCTATACAATACTGACATTTATAAATCTAAATTAAAAGTTTTATAAATGTTGATAACTTAGTGAATTAAGTAAAACAATAATGATTAGTATTAAAAATTCTAAGGCTTCAGTAATTTTCTTTAGTAGAGATCTAGAAGTTTAACTCTTATCCAGAACGGCTTAAAACAGAGTTTAACTGTAGTGCATGCTTGCATCATGCGTTACCAGTATGATCAGGATTCAAATAAACCTCCGAACAATTTTACAAAAAAGAGAAAACAAAACACTTTATTTTCCACAAGGAAGAGCAATAGGAAAAATTAAATCACTTCCCACATATTGTTTTCTTAAAACAGAGCCTACAAGGACATATTCAGCACCAAATAAAAAAAGGGGGAAAAATTTACAGAATAGCCATAGAGTATGAACTATAAAGCAAACATTTAATATTGCACTTGGTTTTGCTACCATTTTGGATTTTACTTTTCCTAATTGAAAAATCAGGAATCTATCTTGAATACTTGAATACAACTGTGAACCTCACATCTTATGTCAGGAATTGACCAATATTTAGGAAAGAGTAAAGTAATGCCTCTAAATAAGACAGTAAAGAAATACTTTAATGGAGAAAATAAAACTTTATTTGATAAAGTTTTATAAATTTAAATTTTTATCACATCTTATTTTGTGACCCAGTGCCAATTATTAGAATATTGGTCATTCTTGTTTCTTGTGTTATTTATGAGCGTATATGGTGATAAGTATTCCAATGCTATGCATATCAACAATTGTTCCCTAGTCAGTTAGACATAAGAAAAAGGATTTTCTGACAACCACCCCCCCAAACAAAAATAAAACCACCAAATGCCCTTTATGCCAAATATTCCATTAGCTTCCTTTGAGGGGGACATTCACAAAATGATTTAACAGTAATAAAAAAATATCTCACCCCCATTTCCTTATTATCTAGTATTAGTTTGCTTACGGGAGCCCAAACCCTTAAACTGAATCACTTAAAACGCGATTCATTTTTACACTGGGCTTTCTTCACCCTGTCAGCAGTTTTCAAACATGAATTGTCTTCCATGTTTTCGTAAAGGCCACTTATGGAAAAGCCTATTTGTTTTGTATGAAGCTTTAAGACAGTATTTAACCAGGTCAAGCACCAAGCCAGACTTACAATTATTTTCAGCCACTTTATTAACTGTGGGACTAAATGGCAGGATAGATGTGACACCCATTTCACACTACGTTGCAACATCAGAGATGCTGATTTTTATTAAAAACATCAGAGCTGAATTCCATCTTAAAAAAAAAAAAAAATAGTAGTACACTTGGTACACTGGAAAATGCAATTTTAAACATCATTATGAATGCTGGTATATTTATGAGCCAACTGTAAATTCTCTTCAATATAAACTGTAATTTACTGATTGATCATTCTTTGTATCTTATCTATATATACCCAAGTGAATGATTTCTCATGTTTAGTAAAATGTTTAGGAAATGGAAAAAAATTTCCTTTAAAAAGTAAAAACAAAAATACAAAACAGTTATTATCCCAGAACACATTCTACTATTTTTAATTCTGAAGTTATACATTTTTAGAATAAACTTGGGTTTCCATGCTCTGTCAAGCTTGAGCAGGATAGCAAATGTATAAACTAAGCTCTCTAGTCAACATATTCCTGCTCATTAAAATACTTTCCACCAGCAAAAACGATTTCCAACATATTATGTTTTGGAGGTAATTGAGTAACTTTGTACAGAAATAAATGCACTTTCTCCTCCTTTCCCTGGTAACTGGAAAACTTCCATACATTTAAAATAACAATAAAAATAATAATTTTTAAGAGCAATGGCCCTTAACTCTTTGCTGGTGCCTGCCATACTGCCTTTCTTTATTCTTAACTCTGCTAATTTCTTCTCATGTGTATAATGATAAAAAGGGAATGTGGGTGGGTTATCACTTTTGTGTATGTCCCTTTTCCAAATTTCCCTCTCTAAAAAGCCAACCAAACAACAACAACAAAAAAATTAACTCAACAGTGCAACAAAACACAAATAGCATTTCAACAGTTTGGCAAGTGATGCGTTCACCTGAGATTAAGTGATTTTAGGCAGTCAGTAACAAAATGCTGCTTTGCTGTAATAGTAGAAAGGCAACAAATTCTTAAAAGAAACCAAGATACACAATCTTAACAGTCTCTTATTAGCTTCCTCCTCTTTCTTGTTTCCCACATTATCTGTTGCGTATCTACTACAGTAGGCTGCAAAACATACAGCAAGAAGGATTGGCTTGAAGGCATTTGATGTTTGTAAATAAATCCACAATAGGATCCAAGCTGAAGAGGTGATACATGGTCAGCCTAGTAGAACAATTCTGAGCATGTGCATACGCAGGTAAAGCCCAGGCTATATTAAATAAAAAATGTCAGTGCGTTTTTTTCATGTTAAAGTTTTTTCAAAGCTTTCTTTTGTTCCTTGTGCTGACCACAAGCAAGTTTTAAAAGAGTATTAAGAGTCTGCCATAAATGGGGGGGGGAAAAAAAAGCTGTAGTGACATTGAACCGCACAATGTAAGCATTGAGCATGTGCAAATTTTCAAATCAAAAGGAGGAAATCATCCCTCTTTTACAACATGGTGTCTTGACACGTATGACCCCATAGGCTAAGAAGACTGCTCTTAGTATGTGCCAGTTTTAAAGAAGAAAAGCTTAGATCTTCAAGCATGTTGGAGCAGTCCCAGAATGTTGCTATAGGCTTCTAAAGCATGATCGCTGGTTGTTTCGTGTATTTGCCATTTTTCTGGGCAAAAGCAATTCCACTTCCTCTGAAAACGTGTCTCCAAGATACTTCCTCTGTCCTCAGCCGGGAAGAGATATAGTTCGGAACCCACATCAACCTGATTTAAACAAGTATTCCTTCAACGAGAGGGGCATGATGGTCTATCTTCTGTTGACTGATCAGGATTTGGATCAACCTAGAAAAAAACGAGAATAAAATTATAAAGTTATTTGATAAAGTCTAAGAACACAGCAAATAATTGTAAGTTTGAGTACTAGTTAAGAAATATAATCAGAAAGAACACAAACAGCTTGGCAGCAAATTAAACTCAATTATTCTCTTTTCATATCTGATATGTTGGGTGGAGAAGAAACAGTGCTGGTGTTATCTATGAAGGTGCCAGATACTCAATTACTATGTTAACAATAAAATTTATAAAGGTATGCCTAAATAGTCCTCTATTTCACAAAAGCCAATGGTAAAATTTTATCAGGGAATGGAAATTTTTTAGCCAGTACTTACTTAAGACTCAAATACACAATGGAAAATACCTGCATAGCAATGATCTTTTATAAAGTATCCCTTTCATCCCTCTACAAAGAAAGTCAACTCCTCTCTTTTTCTAAGCTTTAGGAAGAACACAGTTGTGCAATCGATGCGCTTCCTGTTTACGTGAGGGAGTAACTCATGGGTGTAATGCCCAGAGAAGGTACTGGGTACAGTACGTATCAAGATATAACAATGTTGAACCCGAGATGTTCTACGGGCTTCCATATCTCAGGTTCACATAAACTTAGGAAAGTCAATATATTTCAGTTACTTCTCAGATACAAAGAGAATGAGTAGAAGGCAAATTGTTGGGTTTAACACTTTTACCGAAAGATCTTTTAGACAAGATCCATCCACCTGCATTTAAATGGGGGCAATCCAAAGTTCTTCAGATGCTCTTTAAGTAAAATAAAGGAAAAAAGCCGAATCACTTTTCTGTCTTTTAATGAGCATCCTTGAAAGAAAAAAATATGAAAGTTTAGAACGGTTTTGGAGCCCTGATGGAGCAGTACAATCTAGAACTTGGTACCCTCTATGTGGCTCGATGCTAACAAATTAAATCACATACTGAACTTACCTTAGGATTTTAAAACTTTTTAATTATCTTAATCATCTTTAGTTCACTTGAGAAGAATTTTAGGACAAACCGTCAAAAAAAGTTAATGCAACTTAGATTGTTATTCATTTCAAATGCCCCTGGATAGCCAGAAGCCTCAAATCAAGCAGAAATGACTGACTTGATTAGTGAGACAAAAATGTTGGAATAAAAATGATACACCAAAATCTTTAACAAGTGGTAGGGTGTTTTTAGTACCTAATGTAAAATTTTATGAATTGGAATGGGCTAGGGAAAATGATATCTAATCAAGAATTTCAAAGAATAGTTTCTGAATATCCTACAATTAACAAATAAAGTGAATCTCATATTAACCACATCCAAAGGAAAATCAACTCTGCCAGCCATGGTGTTAAAAAAACAAACAAAAAACTGCTGACGAATAAACCAATTCCTTTGGGAGTAATATTTTATTATAGAATAGCTATCTAAACTACAGTAACCAAAAGAAAAACCTGATTCTACTGATTTACAAAATTTTTGATTATTTTGTTATCAAGACCAACTTCAAAGCCCCTTAAAATGTGTACTATATACATATACATTCTGAAATTTCCTTTAATTGCTGGGTTCCCCTGTCCCACCTCCCTGCCTTTACAGATGCTGCCCTTCCAGTCTGGACTGTTCAGCCCTTGGAGGACTATTCACTCTTCTTTAAGATTCAGCTTAACAGTTACCTCCTCGGGGAAGCCCCTTCCAATTCCCAAGGCCCAGTAAACTGTTCCTAAAATGAACTATGCATACTTACACCACATTGCTGTGTAGTAATTTGCTTCTAAGTTTGTTCTTCTCACTAGTCTGTAAGCTTTCCCCAAATAAGGGGCATGTTTTATTCACATTAGTGCTTACTTGCCATTTGTATGAAATGAATGAAAATAATCTAACGGTATAAGAATGCTTTTAAGATGTTATCAGAAATGTTATTTTCTCTTATGACTGTTAAGATACGCAAGAATTAAAATGAAAAAGGACCGTAAGATAAATTCTGTTCTGTATCAATGCTTGCAAAATACCAGTTATTTCTACTGATGCTTTAAAATAGGAACTCTTTCTTCAAAAAATGTAAATAATTCACCTGAAGTTTTATCATTATTGTATTTTCCCAATAACATAACTGAACAGTCCTACTTCTGTGTTAAACCTAGTAAACACTGACATCCCTAATCTTTAAAAAAGTTATTTTTGTTGTTCTAAATTATTTGTTCTTCTATTATCATTACAATAACCAAGATCTACCTATATTTTTAAAAAATGTGCAATGCTGTTCCCCAAGAGAACCAGCCTATTTCACACTTGAGGGGTTAGTGCTTACCTCTGAATAAAGAGGTGGAGGCAAGAATCGAAACTCTTGGATAATTGCAAACAGTGGTCCTTGAAGTGCTCTCTCAAAGTCATCACAAGCACTCACTGGTACAAGATTGTTCCGCCTTTGTTCCTCTGTTACCACTTCTGCATAGCTTGGTGGTGCTGTAGGGAAAAGATACACGCAATTCGAACAGCATGTTCTTATGCATGTCAAAATATACAGAATAATACGTATTAAAAAAGAATGTCAAGGTAAAATAACAAGTATTTGGTGATCAAAACTAGGGAAACATTTTAAATATAACATTAGGGGCATACCTACTCTTTTTAGGGAAAAGACAAAAGTTTATCTGGGGTCACAAATATCAGAAGCAAAACTATGCTAACCAAAACTATGCTCTTAATAACAGGGGATTGGTTTAGATATGTATTATCAAATTACCTTCAGGTCTTTCAGGCAGAGATAAACCAAGCCAGTTCATATTCATGCTACACTGACTGCTTACACTTGAAGTTCTGCTACCAAATGGATGTAGAGGAATGGTACCAATGACAAGTGGCAAATTAAGAAATAAATCCATAGCTCCAGGAATATCTACGTATACCTAAAGAGTGAAAGGATATGGAAGGTTTAGAATACCAAGCATTATTTCCTTTTTAAAAACAAGTTATTTAATTTTTATGTTATTTGATACTGTCATTTATTTCATTTTCTATTTAGGTATATATGATAGACAATTAAATTTTCTCTATTATATAGCAATATACAATTATTTACATATAAAATTAATAATTATAGTCTATACTATATACACACATATATATCTGTATATATTGCTACACATGGATTATAAAAATCAAATTTTGGATTTAAAATAAAATGGTATCGTTGTAACTTTAAGACTTTAAGATAATTCTTGAATTTATACATACCATTAGTGAATATTCCACACGAATTATACTACAGTCAAGAATAGAGGGAGAAACTGGTGGAATTTTCAGCAATTTGCCATTCCACGTCTCTGTTTTTCCAGATGATAAAGATTCCCCACGTAAGTTAGCCACAAGCTGTTTTACTTCCTTCATTTTCCCTTTGGCATAAAAGGCCTGTGTTTGGTAAATGGCTGCCTTTGGCACTACCATTCGGGAAGAGCAGTTCTCGATCTCAGCAAATATCTGAATTGATTCACCTACAGAGTAAAAAAAAGAAAAAAATTTAAGAAAAATACAAATGTGTAGAAATTGTTGCACTGGCAAATGTATTCTTGTGTATATTTTCACCACAATTTAAAAAAAAAATACAAATCTAGAGTCTTAAGCTAAAGTCAGAAAGTTCAACAGACTACATGGATAACTACGTGCCCTAGGTATGGTAAACAACTAGAGCTATAAAAATGAACTAGCTATTTGAAGAAAGAGATTATACTCCAATTTAAGAATGCAAACTGGATAAGCACAATTTACATTACCAAACTATACTGTATCATGTTCATATTTAGTAGCAACACTATAAATTTATACATAAAAGCTAAGTAAAAAAAGATTGTTTTTTGTGGGAATCCATCTTATCCATACCTGGGGTATAGCCCTTCCTTTCGATTTTGGCACTTAAGGATATTGGGCCTGAGGTACAGAACCAGCAACAGAGAGTCTTTTCTTTTGTGCCTGCTTGGGGTGACTGTAAGATATAAATTTAGAGAAAGAGATCAATGTATAAACTGGAACATACTAGAGCATTTTAAAATACACCCCTAAATTCTTGGAGAATTTAAAATTAAAATCGTTTTTTCCTAAATCCAGATATATTTTCTTTACTACCAAACTGCTTCTGAATTAAACCCTGCTTTTGTCTTTAATTTTCCATTCAATTAAAGAAAAAAGGGGTACAGGGCTTAATATAATATCCCATAAACATGGTTTTAGCTCACAGTATTTACATATACAGTAATTCAAGACAAATGAATCAATCAACCAATTTAAAAAAAAAAAAAAAACCCTTTCCACATTCCATTTAAACTACCTTAAAAAAAGGCAGCATAGAAAGAAACTTGATTATAATCCCAAACGTTAACATCTTTGAGAATGTGAAAATCAGTATTAAAAAAGGCAAAGCTACTCATTTTTAAGATTAATTCTTATGTGCGTTAAAGATGTTATCATTTGTTTAGACCAAATAAAGTTTTGACGTCAAATTTGAACTAATTTCATGAAAAAATAAAAGGATTAAATTTTTTTATGAAAGTGATAAATCTCCCCATCATTTGACAACTATCCCTATATCGGAATAATGCAATGCAGTACAAATTTTAAATTTATCATCTTCAAGTTAAGCGATATTGTCTTATAATAAATATTATTACTGTTTCTCTTTCACCAAAATTAACCAGAGAACAGATCTGTTTTTTGTTACTGCTGTTATTTTCTGAGTAAGAGATAGTTCATACAATGTACTGGTTTTATGTTTTCAATTTACTTCAAGTTACTATAATACCAGAAAATTTGAGCTTATTCTTTGTTAATCTTTATGCTCTTGACTGCATTTGAAAGATCAGTATTTATAAGATTTTAAAATAAAACCACCATTTAAAAACTATAGAGACTGCAGTTTTAAGTGATTATTCTTTTGCATTTAGATGCCAAAGACAAAGAATGAAGTATTCAGTCAATTCTTACCAGTAATGAAGGAGTGTTGATATCTATATGCTCAAAGACTGTAAATTCCTTCTTTAATTTTACTGGTAGAAGCCAAGGCCTGTGCAATTCGGCTTTCACCCAATAGCGCACACTGCCATGTCGGCCTTCAAATGAGGTAGCAAGTGGTCTGTGCAGAATATAAACGTCAATATATTAATTTTATACCTCTTTCTAATATTTATACAGTAGGTCAGCATAAAAGCGTCAACATTTTGTACTGTTTATGTACCAATGAGGTATCAAACATAATTTTTTTAATTTCCAAAGGGATAAGTCATCGGGGAAAAAAAATTGTTTCCAAACAACACATAATAATAGTTAAATATTATACAAATTTTGCTTAAAAAACCGAGAAGAATATAATTCCTTTAAAATAAGAAGAGGCTACTTTTAAAGCTAGTGGCAAAATTATGAAAGTTTGGAAATGAACAATTCTTGAAAAGGTCAAGAATTTAATTTAAAAATGAAGTTAATAATGGTTCAACTATTTCTATTGAGAAATTCTACACACTGGTTAAACACCCACACCAAATTCCCTACAGTGAGTGCTCCACTTCTCATTAGTTAGGAACTATTACCTCTTTTCATAGTAACCAATTAGGTCTAGAAAAGACCTAGACTAGTTGTTATAGTTTTAAAAATTTCACACTTCTAACTCTGAAAAAACTGCCTTTACATTTCCCAGTTTATTTATTTATTTATTTTCTCCTGGCCATGTTTTGTAACTTTATACCCTAAAACAAAAAAACAAATAGTTCTACTGATTTGTATTAAGGAAATCAGTTTTCAATTCTTCCATGTATTATTACTTGTGGAGGGTCTTATTTTAGGGGGTGTCTTTTTCACAATTTCATTAGAAACATGCACCACATTCAGTTATTTAAAAAGTAGAGTGTTAGCTTGGATTAGTAAGAGAAATATAGTGGTATTTTTACAAAAATTTTTTGCATTTTAGATTCCCCCACATTAACTTGTATAGCACAGAAAAATAAAACGTAGTACTTCTAAACCTTAAAACTTTACGCTATTCTTCCAAAGTTTATTTTAACCAATTTGGTTTAGATACCACTTAAAAAAACAAAACAAAACTAAATTATCTCCATCCTTTGAAAACATTCAGGCCCCATGTTAATCTTACTCTATCCACAGACTTAAAGCATTTCTCTCAAAGCAGATTAGAGCATTATATTCAAAATGAAGGTCTCTCAAGTAATATTGTAAATAGAATACTCTGTAAAACATTTATGAACTCTTTACACATAACAACTCAAGTACTAGAATATAGAATTATGTATATATTGGCACTTGATAAAATTCTTAGCAATCTCAGTTTACCCTCCAAAATAATCAGTACAAGTGCCCCCTTGCAAGTTTTTAAAATCTGTTAAAGGCATTATTGAACAAAGTTTGAATAACCTCTTCTAACAATGGGCTATTACATTAAGAATTTACCATTTTCCTTTCATAGTAGACTCCAAAAGCCTCAGATTAGAATATCTCTGATGACTGTTTCCTTTTAATGTCAGGTCATAATATCTCTTATGTGACCTTCCTAATAGATTTTTGCACAGAAGCTACCAAATTCATATCAAAAGAAGATCATTTCTAAATTTAGGATAGTTCTAATTATTTTTGTTTCTAAACTTACTGTTATTGGTTAGTCTTAGCAAAAAAGGTAGAACACTGAATTTCTATAAACTGAAACTACTGAATGAGAAACTTGATATGCTCTACCTTTACTTATAATGCTAAATGATAATAAACTATTTAAAAAGTGTTTACTATTTGACTGGCACCCTCATTTACTCATGTTAAATGAAACACTATACATGTTTTAAGAACCTCATAAACTTTGGAACAGAGTACTAAGAATTAAGCTGTGCTTTCTCTAATTTTGCCATGCTAGATTAAAAAAATAGCTTATCTTTAATACTGTTTTTCTGCAGCAAGTTCCAGTAATGAAAAGGGTTTTTTTTTTCAACTAAAAAAATTTAAATATAAGAATATTTAATTTTAAGAGTGCTTTTGCCCATGTATATTTATGAAACACGCCTATTATTATAATACTTACGTCTGTGGAAGCTCAAAGCTGAATGCATATTCATGCCTTCCTGAATGAATGGTGTTGAAGCCTTCTTCGGAATTATCATCATCTAAAATAAACAGAAAAAGAAAACAAAAGGCATGTTATTAAACCTTTACACAGTTCTCCATGGCCGCAAAGCTTTACATTCGTTCATATAATGATTAAAGCCACAAGCTTCACAGTCTCAGAGATCTGAGTTCTAATCCCCACTTCGTCATTTTCAGTTTTCAGCTGCCAATTTGTAAAATGGGGATAATTAATACTTATAACCCCAAAAGCTTTTCTTAAAAACAGAAAATAACCCAAACTGTAAAGCACCTGCATCTAATATTAGCACATACTCAACAAAAGGTTCAGGGTTTCAAATTATACTAAAATAATGTTATCTCTGTCTCCACCTGTTTACTTAAATATATCATATTACAGCCATTATGTATACAAAGAAAACTGTTCATGTCAACTTTTTAAAATGTCATTTTCCGGGAAATGATACCAAAGATGTGAATTTAAGACACGTTACAATTCCTAAACCATTAGAAAACTTTTGTCAAATAAATGTTGGAGTTAAAAGAACAGTGATTTTAACGTCAGTTTCATAACTAAAACTAAAAATTCTTTATTGCACCTAAAATGACATTTATAGTTTTCCTTTTATGAATTCCCTAGAAACAGTTAAAAATCTGCATATATAAAAAATATACCTTAGCCAATTTCAAAGGATAGGATTTAAACGGTGCCTGTTTACCTGAAAACATTCCCACATTCTTGAAAAACGAAGTCTAATAAAGTTTGTTTCCAATTGCTAGAAAAGGGATGACCTTTCGTTTTATAACCAATTTCTTTTAGCCAAATGCATTACTTTCTTCATTGTCACGAACACAAATGCTATTAAAAATGTGAGAGGGGTTCTGGATTTTTAAGATGATTTCAGCGTCCTGCATTAGATAATATACTCGTATGTCTTATTTATGTAGTTTTCTCGGCGTAGAAACCTTTATAATTAACCATGAAATAACGAAAAACTGGTATTACGTTTAACTTCCCCTCAGCAAACTTGAATATGCACAAAAAACGTGAGCTGGCTTCTCTTACATCGAACGATAACAGTAAAACAAAAAATACATGTCGGCTTTTATTAAAAAACTACGGTGATTCGTTTACATCTAAGTACTATCTTCGTCGTCCCCTGCGCAAATTCTCTCAAAGGATTTCTGTATCAAAAACTGGCTAGCGAATTGGGGTCATTTAAATTCTCTCCCCTCGAAGGCGCCCAAAGTTTGCCTTCCTCTCCGTCTCTTCCCTACTCGCTCCCTTTTTGTGCCAGCTCAGCAGTCTCATTGAGGCGAGCTGCGGCGGCCGCGCCGTGGTAAACAAGTGCCGAGCTGTCAATCAAGAACTAGACCGGAGCAGGAGAGGACCGGCCTAAACCGGCGCGAGCAGATCCCAGCCGGCCCGCCCGCGCGCCGCCGCCGCCCGCGCGCTATACATACGGCATATGTCGCGCGGCGCTCGCGCCCGCGCACAGCCTAGCTTGCTCAACCGGGGCGGGGCGAGCGCGCGGCGGCGCTTCCGCTTTACATGCGCCAGCCAGTGACCGGTTAGATCTGGCTCGGGCCACTCTGACACCTTTACAATCTGCGGTGAGGGAAAGTGGGGCGGTTTAAGTGGGGTGAGGGGGTGATAGGCACGGAGAAACATGGGTGAGGGGAAAGGGAATACTTGCCAAAGCACCCCCACCCAAATTTATTAGAAACATTTCTGCTCTTGACCAGCCTTTACCATCTCTCCCCTCGGGTCAAATCAAGGTAGCTGGTCTGGTGACTTATTAAGTATGAGGGAAATACACTTTGCTTCAGCTTAGAGGAAAGAACCTTTCGCAGAAGCCACTTCACACTTTGGGAAAACAGGAAAATGGTGTCCTGCTACCCGACCCACCCCACCTCTGAGTAAGATCTCCAGCTAAAGTTGCGTTCAGGGCCATTCAGCACCTTAAAGGTCAGCAGAAGCTTCTCTCCTCTATTGAAGCCTGAAATCATTTTTTTCAGTGCCCCAACCAAGCCGGGGTAAGGGGTGACAGCATGACGTAACAAGGGCGCAGGACGCCTCGAAAAGCCCCGGGAGGGACGCGAGTAGGAAAAGAGGCGGCCGGTCTGGAGGGACCTTTACCGGCGCACGCCGGTTCCAAGCCTCGCCCCAGAGCCCACTCTGCCCACCCGCCCGCCGGCGCCCAATCCAATCAGTGCCTGGCATCGCCTTAGCAACAGGCTAACAAACCCCGCTCCACCTATCGCGGGCCGCCCGAGGCGGGGTCTCCGTTACCAGGTTTGTTTGAGAGGTCCCAGTTTTTAAGCCATTGAAACTATTCCAGGCTAAGCGCTCGTCCACACTTTGCAGGGGTTAGGGGCATCTTATGGGGTTCGGGACAGTTTCTTTACCATGAAATCATAGAGCAACTAATGCAATTGTATTTGTCCCCACACTCATTGTTCTACTTTCCCCTATTGCAAGTCTCAACTTCTTAAAGAAAAACCTTTGTTTCTTTCCATCCATTTTATGAAAGGCTGCAATCTCCTGAAGGTTCACATACGCTAACTCCTAGGTCTGCTTTTCAGCAAATACCAGGACTATCATTAGGCATTTGCATTTCGTATAAGAGTTAACGCTTGGAGAGATTAATCAGGAATTATTTCAGTATGCAAACTACCTATGTACAATAATGAAAACCCTATTAAAATAATTGATTTCACCTTAATGTTTTCAAAATAATGTTAATACTGTAACTCAAATCATCATTTCTATACTTGCCTTAGTTCAATTAGCACCTCCCCCGGGATGTATATTTTTTAAATAAAAAAGGAGGTAAAACTGTACTTTTATTTCTGAAAAAATCGTCATTTGAACTAAATGCTGTATTAAAAAGGAGAAGCACAAAAATTACATAACCATTTTTAACATTATATTCTTCTTGGGCTAGGAATTAAGTCATCGCCACCACCTGACGCGTGTAACCAATCTGCTGAGAGCAGAACAAGCGCCCCTCCTCACCACCCCCCAGAACTGGTCCGAAACAGGATTGAACCGCTTCTAACAAAGGGTGGAAACTTAGAAAAACAAGCTTAGAGTCTCCTATATTTCCACAATGTAACCATTTAAACAATAGACTGGAAATCTCAGGGCCCCTTCTCCCTTTGACAACCCTTTATCCCCCTTTTCAAACCAAAAATCAAATGCAATGTGCCGAATACTTTTCAATTCCATTTGACTGGCACAGGTTTCATTGAATGCACGTTCCAAAGTTACACATCATGCTCGGAAAACAAAATTACTGACCCCAAATGGCTTCTAAAACTGACTTGAAACCTATCATAATGGTAGATATTGTCCTTTAAAATAAAGAGTGCTTGATGTAAATTTCTAAAGGAATTGGAAAGAAGAGGGGAAAAACACGTGGGGGTGTTAATACCATATGTCAAAATAAGCCATGGGAAACCCTTTCTTTATCAAAGAACAATGATCAATCTTTACAAAGTCTCCTGGATGTCACTACTAAAAATGAAATACACCTATTACCCATTGAAAAATGTTCCATTTCTTCACTGAAACTCGCTTTTAGAGCTAAGGCTGTAATGTAAAATAGAAAATCTAATACTGGGCTGTAGCTTTTAGCAATTTATTTGAAAACATATTAGTAAAATTACTGAATTAGATTTAAGCAGAATTTATAAGTAAGGTGCATTTGCAATCCATTTGGATTGCAAGTGCGCACTAGAAGTAGCTGAATAAGTGCAGTTTGCAGTCACTTTGCAGATGCCCGCATGCATTACGGCTAATACACGATGAATGTCAAGGAGAATCCACATCTTCCAACTTTGCTAGCCTTCATCAAACTGCTGTGTTATGGTAAAAATAGACTTACATTAATTCAGAAAATTACTTTTCCAAAGAAAATAGGTCTAATGACTACTGAACAATATGAAAACTTACCTCTTTCGTGCCCAATTAAGATGTCTTTATGGCTGAAATATTCTACTTCTTCAGTGTAATTCTGTGTATAGGCAGTATTGGAGCCGGCGTTTCTAGATTCAGTCCAGCGTACTTTCGCATGTCCTCTTGCATGAATTTTAAGAGATTTTACTCTGATTTCCCCAGTAACTTCTAAATTCACCCTTCCTGAGACTGTATCCCCACTAGAATACACAGGGACATTGCTGTCATTAAGACAGTCAAAGCTTATTGTCAAACTCTTAACCTTTCCCAGCACCATGTTTATAACAAAATCTATAAAAATATAATGTAAGACCAACAAAAAAACAAAAGTCAAGATCGCATATAAAATGCGATCTTCACTGAACACTGATCGATGTCTTTGCCATGCAAAAAGCTTGCAGGTAGGATCAGCGATTCTTTACAAATAGTTCATTGAGATTTCTTAAAAAGTCAAGGCAGCAGGGAGACTGCTCCTCCGCGCTCCAGTTCGTCTCAGTGGTCTCGGTACAAAGACGGGCGGCTGAAGGCTGCTAGCTCACTTTAAGAGAAGCTTTGTGGAAAAACAACCCCAGTGCGCATGCGCACGCCGCGGCTGCTGTCCGCCCTCCTTGCGCGCCCCCTCCCGCGTCCGGCAGGCTCCCTCGCTCGCTTGCTCGGTCTCGGGTACAGTAGGTGTCGAGCTAGGGGAAGAAGACACTGGGGCCGCTGGGAGGCTCAACCTGACTTCTCTTTATTGTGGGCTTCTATTGGTAGGCAGGCTACCGTAAATCCTCGACGTGGTATCTCGATCCTCTTACCGAGCACACGCTAATAGAAAGATGATGGGCAAGAGGGGGCCACTAGGGGACAAGGCTGGGTGGGGAGCTGTTTGCCAAGCCAACTATGGATAAACTGCCGAGTGACCAGTCCAAAGCGTGCGTTACCAGCACTGCAGGGTTTTGCTAACTGCCTGGCTGGGAGGAGGAAAAAGTGTGTGTGAAGGGAGAGATGGAGGAAGGGGTGAAACCGGTTGGGCAAGCGGCTGGTTACCGAGCATAATCTAACGAATTTCAAAAGAAAACGTAATAAAAACAGACAAGAATTATTGTTCATAGACAAAAGCATTCTTGACTTTGAGGGGTTTTTTGTTTTGTTTTAAACCAGTACTTTGTAGGCAGGGTGGAAATGAACTCAGTCGAGGCCAAAGGAATCTTAAAAGACGATATTGTTAAGGATCAAGGAAGAGAAACAAGTACAATTTAATCAGTAGTCTTTGCTTTCTCCTCAACTGCTTTCTCTTTTATATCCTGATTAGAAAGCAACGAAAAATAACCAAATTGTTTCCATGATGACACCAGGGAGGGAAAAGCTTGACCACTTCCTTGAAGAGGAAAAAAAGTCTTTTTTTAAGACACCACCTACTACTAGATTTGCAGGATAGGACATGATTGCTACTCCGGTGTCCAGAGGAGTATAGAATTTGGCCTAAAACAGGCCTAAAAAGGCAGCATGACATAGTGGTTTAGCTGACATGTTGTTTACAACAGGGTAGAAGAATCTTGGTTAGAAATTAGTGTAGCACATAAGATGGCTTTTTTTTTAAAGTATGATTTGAGATTTATATGGGGCTTAATTCTGTAAAGCTTTCATTTTAATTTTCTACTGAGAGGCTTGAGCTGTTCAACATAGGAATTCTCATATCTTAAAGATAGGCACATTTCCCCCTTTTTTGGTGAATTTCTTGGTAAAAAATAATACTTTCATAAACTCTCACTGGGATTCGAAGCATAACAGCATAAACTCATCTAGACTATTGGCAATCAACAGAACTGCTTATCAAAATATAGGAAGAAATATGAATCTGGAATAACATACACATGGGCAAATATACTTGGGAAGATTTTTGGATGCCACGTCTAAGCATTTTAGATTATTTTGTGTATTATATTTGGACAGGTTGAGCCTATGAGTCACCATAAAGCAAACTCATTGGTCTTGCTTTTTTCTCCAGAATAATTGTATTTAGTTGGATTTTAGTTGACAAGGCATTATCTTGAAATAAACTGGATTATATATATAGATATGCGGAGTATTTGGACAGTTAACAGGCCATTTATCTCTGCTAGAGTTTAGATCGTTTGCTTAAAATTATGAATTTGTGTATTTATTGAGTGGGAAAAGGTCTTTTTTTCTTCTTGGTTGACACCTGGTGGAAGGAAGTTCTAGTTAAAGTATTTGGGACCTTGTACTAGCTTTGGAACAGATACTACTTGTGTTTTCTCGCCATCTAGTGGTAAATTTGTTGAATTTGCCAAACTATCAGTTTTTCCTCATTAAGGTCAAATGATATTAATTAACTATTCAAAGACACTGAGCAAGGATCTGGATTTAAAAGTACTGTACACAATGAGGAGGCCTTCATTACTAAATTTATTTTTTAATTACTAAGAGCTAGTGAACAATGGCTGAATTCATAGGATTTTTTAGTAAAATTTCTTTGGTTAGAGTATAACATTTCTGGAAAAGTAAGAATCAGCTAGTTAAATAAACTAGAATTACATTTAATCAAATGGAACCCTAAGAAATTTACTTGTTTGGGAAATTATTTTAACACAATAAATGATTATGATTTATTCCTGTCATTGTGTTTTACACTATTCCTTCTGTTTGAAGCCTTTAGGATATTATAAACAATTGTCTTTATTATTTATCTTGCTATTTTTATTTTCTTTTTATTTTGTCTTCATAAACAAAGAACAAATCTGTCTTGCAAGAAGTACAACTAGAATGCTCTTTAGAAGGAAGGATGGTGAGACTATGTCTTATGTACTTTGGACATGTTATCAGGAGGGATCAGTCCCTGGAGAAGGACATTGTGCTTGGTAAAGTAGAGGGTCAGTGAAAAAGAGGAAGACCCTCAACGAGGTGGATTGACACAGTGGCTGCAACGATAGGCTTAAGCATAACAACAATTGTGAGCATGGTGCAGGACCTGCAGTGTTTCATTCTGTGGTACATAGGGTCACTATGAGTCCGAACCGACTAGACAACACATAACAACAACAACAAACACTTTAGTAACTGACAAGTTACCAAAAATTCTTATCCCCTTTCATTTTTATGCATGCAAAAGCTGGATGATGAATAACAAAGACCGAAGAAGAATTGATGCCTTTGAATTGTGTTGATGAAGAATATTGAATGTGCCATGGACTGCCAAAAGAACGAACAAATTTGTCTTGGACTAAGTACAACCAGAATGCTCCTTAGAAGCAAGGATGGTGAGACTACGTCTCATATACTTTGGACGTGTTACCAGGAGTGATCAGTCCCTGAAGAAGGACATCATGCTTGGTAGAGGGTCAGGGGAAAAAGAAGACCCTCAGTGAGATGGATTGACACAGTGGCTGCAACAGTGGGCTCAAGCATAACAATGATTGTGAGGATGGCGCAGGACGAGGCAGTGTTTCGTTCTTCTGTACTATCAGTCAGAATTGACTTGACAGCACCTAACAACATCATTTTTAGTTACGATCCCATCCACTTACCCTAGTTATCACCTTTCTTCTCTTTGGATTTGGTTCCGTGACTGTCAAGTACCTAAACCTGAGTTTACTTGCTTCATTTTGTTTTCCTCCTATTTATTAAAACAATGAAAACATTGGAAAATTCAACTGCTTAAAAACCAAACAAAAACAAACTCTGGCATCTCTAAATTCCTGTTTATCTTTTCACTTCTGAAAGAAAAAAGACATCACTTGGAACAAATTGTGAATGTTTTCTCTCATGAGTTTCATACCCGCCCCCAAGACACCCTGTCTAAATATCTACCCTTTAGACAGCTTGAAGTGCTGTCTTATAACCATTATCTTGGACTTCTCCGCCTACTTCACTGCCCCTTATTATATTTTGTGTTAAATTTAATCTATTCATCGTTACCACCAAGGCTCATTTGTACTGCACCCCAGCCTACGTTTCATATGTCATCTCTGCCTACGCATCCACTAACTCTCTATACTCCTGTCAAGTACATCTTCTGCCCCCTTTGATAGTTTGTCCCACTATTGCCAATGTGCAGTTACATGTTCTGTGCCTAGAACAGCATCTACCCCTTACTATATTATCTTCTTTCCTTTCTTCTAACCCATTCACTGAATTCTTTTGGCACAACTGAATAAAATTTAAACAGAATAACTAGCTCCTCCTCCCCTTTTTATATCTTCTTTAGAGTTTAATTGGGAATCTTTTATTATGGTTTTTTTTGGATTTTGAATTAAATGGCTGTTCCACATTAATGTATATAAACTTGTCCTCAACCCCAAAGGCGGCCATCAAAACTGACAAAGGATAACTTCTTTCAAGGTATATAATATTGAGGAGATATGTCAAAATTACTGCCAAGTCTGGAGTTTTTGAAATAAAATTATTTCAAAATGCTCAAAATCACTTTAGGAAGGGGAAAAAAAAAAAACAAAAACAAAAAACAGGCCATCTCAGTTGAAAGCTTTTGGTATAAGAGCTCATTTTCTGTGTGATTGTAAGAAACCATACCAGTAATCAGAGCCTGTTTCTTAAAGAAAAATATGAAATCCATGCTTAATTCTTATTTTAACTGGCACCATGACAGGATTGAGTGCTGTAGAACCAAGGAAGTTTTTTTTTTGTTTGTGTCTTTTTTTTTTAAGTCTTAATTTGATACTTTAAAATTTTGTAACTGCACCACCAGGGCTCCTTTAACCCATTAGTATTCTCAGATTGCAACAAAATTGACTTTGTTATGGCGGCTGGAGGGAGGATTTGCTATATTATTAAAAAAATGAATAAAATTTGATTTTTATATTTGATAATTATGTTGTCTTCTTTATACTTAATAGACATTTAAGTATGGATTTTATGATAAAATTCAGTATGAAATTTGGTTTCTGTCCTCCCTCATTAAGAAATAGCATGATGTGTGTTATGTGAACACCATTTACTTTTTAATTTCTTAATTAAAAAAAAATCACCCATAATTCTATTGTCCACCCGGAGAGAGATACCACTGTTAACGTTTTGATGTATTTCCACCTAGCTGTACAACTAAGAAAGAAAAATGCCCCATTAAGCTATTACAATTTGTTTTTCACGTAGAATATTTTTACATAGTGT